TATGCTTATCATTGTTTTTCAGTATACCATAGAAACATGTGGAAAAATAATTAACAAATACTTTGCAAAACACAAAATTTATGTCACTGCCAAAACTTTTGGCCATGACTGAATATATGTATGTGTGTGGGTGTACATAAACAAATGTATATAATAGTGCTGTCAAAATTAACGCGTTAACGCAGGCAATTCTTTTTTTTCAGTTTAACGTGTTAAAAGTATTTAATACAATTAACGCAGGGGCGGAGCTAGGGTTGACCACCCCACTCACAACTGCTGTTTCTGTCACTGTTTTTCTTGAGAAGTACTGCATTTATTCAGTCGCTAAGAATGTCTTTACGATCACATCAAACGGGAGATGTTTCAGACGTGCCCTCTAACTTCACCTCTGCGAGGTGCGAGTCAAACGAGCGCGGGAGTGGTACTGTGCTCGTAGCTCGTGCTCTTCAATTGCACGTACACAAAGGCGCCATCACCCACTGTACCCTGTATCTTTTCATATCAAAGCGCGAATTAAACTACGTGCACGCAATGTCATGGTCAGTTAAGTCATGAAGTTACCAAAAAGGCAATTAAAGCTGCCCTAAAACTGTGCATGCATGTAATATATTACATATGAGTCACATTTAAGAACATGTTTCTGAAATGGTTTTCAAAACTGTCCTGGAGCAGCCCAGCACTGTCTCCTTCATCTAACACACCCGATTCATTAGTAGAGGCTTCAAGACCTGAAGTGGGTCAGAAAAGGTCAAGAGATTTGAGAGAAAATACGATGTGTGTCAGATCCGCATCATGTTCAGCAGCGGCAGCTCTTAAAGTAACAGCAGCCAAAACAATCTAATAACCAGCTGCTGTGATGTCTGTTAATCAAAGAAAAAAAAAAGAGGAAATCAATAACTTTTAAAGCTTTAAGGATTCATCTATATTTAATTTAGAATTTAGCATTTGATAACTTCAATTTCTGTATATTTCTGCTGAAGGGCACAGGTAAATATGACATTTATTATAATGGGTTTATGTGAAGATTGAAGTTCACTTAAATTAGAAGTAATTTTTTTTTAAGTCTAATGAATGTTCAAATTGATATCTCTCAATTATACTGTAATGTTGAATGGCTATAGTCAATGGTTAACTATTAAAGGGAAGGCACTCTGAGGAAGGCTTTGCAGCTGAAACGTTTGTGTCTTTTACCATCAATGATGAATGTAAAATAAAACGTAAAAAGAAGAATGTTCTCGTGAGTGCGGATCATGGTCTCCTATACTAAATATTAGGAGGAAAAAACAATTATATAGGGACATCATCAGTAATATTGGTGTCAGTGATACTGGCCTTCAGTCATAAAAAAGATGCCATTAAACAAATATAAAAAATATACTGTCTTTATGTTGTTTGTACATTAATTTGAAGATTGAATGTAAAATTTTTGCAATATAAAAGTATATTTAAAAACTTGAATGTTAGGTGGGATTAATCGATTAATTAGTAAATTTTTTTAATCGATTGACAGCACTAGTATATACACAAACACAGTACTGTATATATCTACTATTTAAAAGTTTGGGGTCAATAAGATTAGATTTATTTATTTTTATTTATTTATTTATTTTTAAAAGAAATTAATACTCTTATTGAGCAGAAATGCACTGATCAAAAGTATCAGTAAAGACTACTGTCTACCTATGGACTTGTATTTTCTTTCAGTTGCCGTTTTCCTGTCTTCTGTTCTAGTTTAGTTCCTGTGTGCCCTTATTTGGTTATGTTCCTGTTTTTGTGTAGTCATTATTAGTTAACCTCCATTCACCTGTGTCTACTTAATCACCCTCATTATCCTGTGTATAGGGCCCACGTGGCCTCACTCTGGCGGGCATGGGAGAAGGACGACGCCCCCTACTCTGGTTCTCTGTAACCATGAAAGCTGAGCTCCAAGGGGCTTTTCGAGTGAAGCCGAGTACCCGACACCCCGGTGGGCATGGGAGTAAGATGACGCCCCCTACTCTGGTTCTCCATAACCATAGTTGCCCTGACAACTACATTGTTACACAAACTAATCTATTTCAAATAAATATATTCATTCAAATTTTATTTTTATTAAAGAATTATGAAAAAAAATATTGTTTTACAAGTTTCTACAAAAACATTAGGCAGCACAACGGTTTTCAACATTGATCACAAGAAATGTTTCTTCAGCACCAAATCAGCATTTACAAACATTTCTGAAGGATCATGTGACACTTAAGACTGGAGTAGAGGCTGCTGAAAAATAAAAACATATTAAAATTAAATTTTAATAATATTTTGCAAAATTACTGTTTTTACTGTATAGTCTTACTGTTTAATTAAATGTAGTCTTGTGAGAATAAGACTTTCAAAAACATAAAAACAAATTACAAACCCCATACTTTTGGTAGAAATTGTAGTGTATATACAATTAAAACACATTTCTCTACTTATATCTATATACAGTATGGATTAAATCTGCATTTAATTCTGAAAGGGAGGATGTATGCCATAATGATTCAATTCACTATTCATCTTCACAATGTTAAGAAAATCAGAAATTTGATGCAATAGAAAACTTTCTAATAAATAATCAACCAGCTATTGGATTTCTGTATTGATTTGTTGAACTTGAATGAATTTCAACTCATATCTTATTGTAGCCTTCTAAGGCTGATGGTACACGGGGTACAACTTTTTGAGCAATGTTGCCGGCAACTGGCAACCAGATGAGACACAGGGCCCATGACCGATCTAAAGTATTCAGATAGACATTTGTTATCAATTCTCAATGTGAAAGTGCCCAAGCAACATTGCTCAAAAAAAGTTGCACCTTGTCTCATCAGCCTAAGAGGCTCAGCAAGTCTCAGCACAAGCAATCACAAAAAAAATAAAAAAAATAAAATTACCTGGCAGTTTGTCATACTATAAATGAGAAACATAACTGCCCACCAAACAGAGCCATAGGTTTTTGCAGAAGTAATGGAACGCATTTCCTCTATGGAACAAAGGCCTATTAATTGTGATAGATAGCACCTACTGAATGCATCATTTTGCTGTTTTGCTGTACCATGCTACTTCTTTGAAAGTAACCCATTAGTCTTTGTGGCAGCCTGCATTCTGCTCCCAATTTAATAATGACTCAAACTTTGTTTAATTAAAAGAGTCTGTCACCACTTCTTACAAATTGCATTTGTTTTTCAGCTCATCTTAGCTGCTCTAAAATAGAACGTGACTATAGAGGTTTTCCAAAGATTAATACCTTTGCAGCACTCAGACAGTGTAATCAGTTAAAACTGGGGTTTAGGGAAATAAATACATGCTAATGAATAATTTGGGGGCATAAGTTTCTACCCACGAAGACAGGCAGAGAGTAATGTGAGAAAACATGTCAGATGCAATCCAAAACAAAAGTGTGCAATACATTCCGGCAAAACCTAAGACAGAGAAAGGGAACTCATCTAATACAAAAAAGTGAAAGTGCGCAATTACAGGCTTTGCTACATTTACTGCTTTCATTTGCTTTAGGGTGAACAAAAAAAAAAAAAGTTATGCAACTCTAGCCGCTTCTGACGCTGCCAATATGAGTGAGTTCTCTATGATCCCTAGAATTACAGCTTTTGGGCAATGGTTAGAGCTGTAATTTGAATCATACGGCAGGCCTAAAGTGTGTGATTAAAAATTGCGTCAAATCAAATGGATATCTTCCAAGACAGCCTTTATTATCTTGGTCTATATAAAGCTAAATCAATCAAACTTCACCACTTCTCGAACACTGAGATGTATGTTTACACTCCTCAGGGAACCAAAATTTGGTCTTTATTCTCATACCATAATGAGTTTCCTAGGGCTAAACGGAAATTGTTAAATCTATTTTGACAAAATGTCTTGAGTTATCTGTCTTTTCCCTTCTGAAGCAATGTAGCTGTAGACTTGCAGCGCCAGGTTTGACTATTGACAAAGTCTGATATATTTCACAACTAATTTTGTACTGGCCTTTTTGACATAAAGAGAACATCGGACCAATATGTAAAGTGACTAACAACAGTTCCCTTTCGTGGAACTTCGAACTGCGTCCTCTAGGGGTCGCTATGGGGAACGCCTCGTCGTGACCCGTGTCTGAAGCCTACATTGAAAAAACACCAACTTGTTTGGCCGGCGACAGCCATGACGTCACTACTGTCGCAACTAGTCAAGTCAAGTCAAGTCACCTTTATTTATATAGCGCTTTTAACAATACAGATTGTGACAAAGCAACTGAACAGCATTAATTAGGAAAATAGTGTCAATAATGCAAAATGACAATAGTAAACACTCATTTTTCTTAACCAGACATTTAGGGATGGTACAATTAAATACTGGTCAAAAATCACATATTGGTTAAGCAATCTCTGTGAGCAAAATAGAAATAACACAATAAATGTGTCTTGACTTTCTTTTAATATATGAAATAAGTATGGATACAAAACAAACAGGAAAAATGGGAATCTCCAATTCTGAGTATGGTTATCTTATTCAATTGCTAACAGGCTATCTTTTCGAAATCCAAAGGCAACATCCTTGCAAACACTGACAAATCTATTAACCAGTTCTTTTTCAGAAACACTCATTGTTCCAGCCCGGTATCTTTTAAATACAAGTTTGTTTCCTGATAAAACTGGTAAAATTGCAGCCAGCTGCTAACCAGCTAAACAGATGGTATGTGGGCATGCCACGTGAGACTAATTTACACATTTTTTACCGCTTTTGATTCTCACTTATTTTTTCTTATAAATGTGCTCCTTATGGTTTGTGTTGCCACAGCAACAAAGTACAGTAATTAAATAAAAAAAAAATCACAAACACAAACATTAATTAGAAAAACAAACAAAGAAAATATCAGCCTTATGCCATCAAATCAACATGTACTGTATGTCTCCAATTTCTTAAGGTTAATGGTGTAGTTAACCTTTGACCCAAGCCTGACTACTGAAGAGGGAATTAGGCACTCTATCACTTACCCATGACTGCTAGAGCTGTGGCTTTAGTTAAGTCCCTCTTCATGCTTTCAATGACCTCAAAGCCACTACCGTCCAGATTGCACCTGTTGATAGTACCATTAGCAGAACTGATCCAATACATCTTCCCAGCGGGAAAGTCAATTGAAAGTCCTGAGGGAAAACAAGAATCAGTTAAAAACTGTTATTTGGAGTGCTGGTGTGGAGTCATTACTTTAAAATATACTTTACATATCCTATAACTATATATGTATCTGAACATGAGATGATTCTTTATAGCTTGAAATATAGTTGTGACCTCTTTGTGACACTCTAATTCACTAAAATTCATCTCTCTCTTAAACCTGTTTCAAAAGTGGAAATGGTTAGATTTTGACAGAGTGGTAAAATTGATTGTGACAAGTGAAGGATATTTCAATTGAGCGTCAGGACAGCTCTGACTGAGAGGGGCTAGTAGACACCCAACAACAACAACTGACTTTCTTCTCCAAGACTGCCGTTGAAATAAAAGAAACATGTGTTTTGCTTATCAATGAACACACAGGTACGGGGATATAAAAAGGAGCTATATATAGGCTTGAGGACGGGAACTGTGTAGATGTTCCATTTTTAAAAAAAGTCTAAAGTACTACTATTCTGCTGTGTATTAAAAAGTAAACTTTTTTTATTAGCTTTTTAAATAGACTGATGAAATCAAAAGGCCAGGGAGATTTTTCCATTAAAGTAACTTTTACACATAAATGTTGTAAAGCAACCAGTTAAATAGCAATTTTCTCAGGGTCCTGACTTTGTAAGGCTGTGGATAGGAAATGTAATATATATGTATTTATATATATATATATATATATATGTATATATATATATATATATACAGTATATGAAACTTATATTCTGAAAGTTGTTTGAATTCAGCCGCAGTTTGTAGCAACTCAAGTTCAAGTTCACAATGGTTATATTTAAAATGAATTAATTTCTGCTATTACTCTACTGTAGGTCAAGACTATGTTGGGGTGACTAATCAGACATCTCTTCTCAAGGACAAATGACCACAGTTGTGGCCAATTACAATACAGTCTTAAATGGATTTTGCTGGCTGTTTTAAATAAAAGTTATATAAAATCGTGTTTCTTTATAAGTGGAAATAAGATAGCACTTAAAATATGTATTTTGTACATTGAAGGTCTAAAGAAAATTTTAAGGCATATAAAGTATGATTTTCTCCTCAGAAATCTAATTAAATAGGAGTACATGTGTTCTATTTCAACAAAGTACACATTTCTAAAAATAAGACTTAAGTATATAAATGAAGTACAATTCCTCTTGTATTTTAAACTCCTGTCATTATTAGATTGGCAAAGGAATCAAACATACCAACTGGTTCTCTCTGATTTTGATGAAGAACCTTCCTATTGCTTCCATCCATATTGGCTACATTTATTGTGTTTCCATCGGTCCAGTAGATTTTTCTAGACCATGACACAAAGCAAATTTCAGTAAAAACATGAGTCATAGGAATTCTCATGGTTTGTATTTAAAGGCATAGTTCACCCAAAAATGAAAATTCTGTCATTAATTACTCACCCTCATGTCATTCCAAACCCGTAAGACATTCGTTCATCTTCGGAACAAAATTTAAAGGGTTAGTTCACCCAAAAATGAAAATTAGGCTGTGTTTTACTCACCCCGAGGCATCCTAGGTGTATATGACTTTCTTCTTTCAGACGAATCCAGTCGGAATTAGATAAAAAATTATCCTGGCTATTCCAAGCTCTATCATTGCAGTCAGCGGGTGTTGCAGTGCTTCAGTCCAAAAGAAGTTAAAAAAAGCGCCCATCCATAAAAAAAAGTGTCTCACACGGCTCCGGGGGGTGAACAAAGGCATCCTGTATCGAATCAATGCATTTTTGTAAGAAAAATATCCATATTCAAAACGTAATAATCACTTTAATCTAGCTTGCTCTCATTGTTGTAAACGGAAGCAGTTCCGGGCAGATGACGTATGAGGTCGGGGTTGCGCATGCGCCGCTCAGAATTGACGAACGCGGAAGCGCAGGGGAGAGATCAAAACAAAACAACAGTCACTAATTAGAAGTACAAAATGAGGATTTGTAAATAAGAATGTCAGAGGATTTCGATATAAGCCAAGAGGAGACTGGTTTTCGTTTGCTAAGAGATCAAAACAAAACAACAGTCACTAATTAGAAGTACAAAATGAGGATTTGTAAATAAGAATGTCAGAGGATTTCGATATAAGCCAAGAGGAGACTGGTTTTCCTTTGCTAAAGTAAGGAAACTTAGCTTCCTTTGCTCCTGTTAACAAACGTTGGTTTTCACGAGACTCACCAGCGCATGCACAAAGCTGACCTCATACCTCATCAGCCCGGAACTGCTTCCATGTACAACTGTTGGCGCAAGCTAGATTAAAGTGATTATTATGTTTTGAATATGGATATTTGTCTTACAAAAGCGCATCGATTCGCTACAGGAGGCCTTTGTTCACCCCCTGTGCCATGTGAGACACTTTTTTTTATGGATGGGCGGATTTTATTTCACTTCTTTTGGACTGAAGCACTGCAACACCTGCTGACTGCAATGATAGAGCTTGGAATAGCCAGGACAATTTTTAATCTAACTCCTATTTGTCTGAAAGAAGAAAGTCATATACACCTAGGATGGCTCTGGGGTGAGTAAAACACATCCTAATTTTCATTTTGGGTGAACTAACACTTTAAGATATTTTTTATGAAATGTGAGAGCTCTCAGACCCTGCATACACAGCAACGCAACTGTATTGCTCCCAGGTCCAGAAACGCAGTAAGGACATCAGTAAAACAATCCATGTGACATCAGTGGCTCAACTTCAGTTTTGCAAAGCTACAATAATACTTTTTGAGCGCAAAGAAAACAAAAATAACATATTTATTCAACAATTCTTCTCCCCTGAGTTACGTCTTCCGCCATTTTAGAGTATCACAACACATATGCACGCTTTCCCCTAAGCATAAACAATGCTGATTACGCAGATTACGCTCTTGGGTACTCTCCAAACTCTCCACACTTTTTGTTTTCTTTGCGCTCAAAAAGTATTCTCGTAGCTTCGCAAAACTGAAGTTGAGCCACTCTAACCAAAAAGTAGTATACTTTTGATATAATAAATAAGTTTATTTTATTAAGTATACTTAAGTAAAGTTCAAGTACATTTTTAAGTATACTTTATGTAGCAAGTATACAAATATCAGTGTACTAGTAGTATACTTGTAAGTGTACTATTTCAATACTCCTTGGGACTAAATTGGCCCACTTTCTAGTATATAAAAATATACTTTTAAGTATACTTTAAGTATAACAGTAGTAAACTTTAAGTACACAACTAGTTTACAACAATATTTTAGCTTGTACTGCAACTATACTAAAAGTGAACATATGAATACTGATAGTTTTCTAATTTAACACTTGTAGTAGCATTTTTAGTACACTTTGAAGTATAGTCTTAGTAAACTACTAGTTTAGTAGTTTTATACTGCAAGTATACTCGTAAGTTTTCTTTAAGTGAACTTTACATCATACTTTAAGTATACTACTATGTCCCTATTTAGGTTTGTATATATTTTGTTATATAAATATCTGAACATACAAAACACCAAAAGAAAGAACAGGGTATCTGCTTGTAAACAAAAAACATTTTTTTCTAGCTTCATGCATTCCTTTTTTAAACACTTGAATGTGGGTAAGTTTCATAAATAATAATAAAAAAAGAAATAACATTTTGAACAAAAAGCTGAAAAAAAGACTATGAATTGGATTCAGAACGATAATCAAAATGTAGATATTCGATCAACACCCCAAAGCTTGACAGTCATTATTACCTCTTCATTGGTTGACATTACATCAACTTTACACAGTTTTGATGCTGTTTTATGTCTGATGATCGTGTTAGATTACATGTGGAAGCATCTGTTGTTTCGGTTTCTTTTTCACTTGTGTTTTTTGGAAATTCTGTACAGAAAATGTGTACTAGTGCCCCCTACAGTATAACAATGAAAACACGGATTCTAGGAACACAAGTATAGCTCAAATATATTTAGACTTTTTCTAAGTAGGCTATAAGTCAAGTATACTTAAATGTCATTTTAAGTATATTTCTGAGAAGTACACAAAGCCCATTTCTGAGAAGTACATAAAAAGTAGACTAAAAGTATACTTTCCTATGTTTTAGTTTAAAAGAAGTATACTAATAGCACACTTGAATAAACTTATTTTTCGTAAGGGCACTGATGTCACATGGACTGTTTTACCGATGTCCTAACTACGTTTCTGGACCTGGGAACGTTAAAGTTGCGTTGCTGTCTATCCAGGGTCTGAGAGCTCTCACATTTCATACAAAATATCTTAATTCGTGTTCCGAAGATGAACAAAGGTCTTATGGGTTTGGAACAACATGAGGGTGAGTAAATAATGACAGAATTTTCATTTTGGGGTGAACAAAAATAGACAGACAGACAGATAGATAGATAGATAGATAGATAGATAGATAGATAGATAGATAGATAGATAGATAGATAGATAGATAGATAGATAGATAGATAGATAGACAGATAGATACACACAAATCTTACTTAATCATGCATGCAATCTGTCCATGTGGGTTGCTTACCCTTTGGCTGGGTGCACAGTCAGACACTTTGGTTTGTCAATCCCATGGATGACTGAGGTTTTTAGAGATCCGTCTAGTCGGGCAACATTGATCTGCGTCTCCTCGTTCTCAGAGCTCAGCCAATACATATTCCTCGAAAGCCAATCTACTGCTAGCCCACGGCAGTTTTGAATATCTGCACGTACCAGAGATAGCCATTAGCACATAGGTGCACATCACAACAAACCTCATGGGTGACTGCAACACTTCTGCGCACGCTGTAATAAAATATCTTATGTGCAAAGGCACATGGTTGGCATGCTGATCAGTTTGAGAAGGTTTAAGAAATACACCATGCTTGATAACAGCACTTAAGAAGAAGCAATCCCCAGAGAACTTCACAAACAAGCTCTCCTATCACATAAGATATTATTTATGTTCTGCTGCACACTCCTTCAACCATCATTTTTTAATGCATGCCGCCTGTGAACACAGTCTTCTCATAATTGAAAAAACCTATTTAAGACTGAGTGTCAGCAAAATAAAACAGTATTTCAGCTCAAACCTACAATGTGGCAGCAGAGAGAGAAAAAAACAACAACTTATTAACAGCACAAAAATGTAATAACTGTCACTTAGGTGGTGTTTATTGAGAAAAATCTTACACCCCACAGAATGTGAAAAAAAGAAACAAGAAAAAACACTTTGACTTGGACTCTCGACTCACCTCCAGAAATTACAGTTTGAAGGCCTGTTCCATTGATAAAGACACGTTTTATTGTTTGAGTCTTAACGTCCGCCCAGTATATCCTTTCCTCAAGAGCGTCGTAATCCACCACAGTGACATCATCGATGTCAGGAACAGTCAAAGCAGTCATGACGTTCATGTACGGATTATCGATATCCACTCCACGGATCTCAGATCGCCTCACATACAACAGGAACTTCTTCAGGGCTGATGCGTGTGCCAAAACAAAACACATATAAGTCAATAATTCATCTAGAAAGCTCAAACTGATCCATACTTCTGTGTGTATGTTTTGTTTGTTGTGTGGGATGTAACAGAGCTGCATACTCACCCACACAAGAGCGGTTGTGGAGGGAAAGCTTCATGAGATGAGGACATGAACAAGACGCCGTGCGATTGTAATCAATGAGACAAAGGTGGGAGCAAGGGCCTCTTCCAACGTTTCCCTCGCATGGGTTTGAAGCTGAAAAACCCAGGGTGACACGCATTTAAAAAAGGGAAAGAAAACACATCAAGGAGAAAATCAATATCACATACTATGAATTAAGGAGAGCAGCTCTTAAAAGAAGTCATGAACAACAGCTGTGAAACAATGAAACAAAAAACAGTTAATGTACAGTGAAACCAAGATAATTAGTATTCTTGATGAAGTGCAAGGAGTGAGAATTCAGATGTCTGGATTTAAAGAGGGCAACATAAAATGGCTGTAAAATAAAAGATTGCAATACCACTAAGAAAACATTCATCTTAACTCCAGGATAAAGGGAAGAGCTGAGGTTGAATGGACAGGGCTGACAGCTCATGTCTTCTGCCCACAGTGATCCTCTTGAAAGCACAGCACATTTAGACCTTCTGTACGACTCTTTGTAGAAAGACCACTATATTTCAACAGAAGGTAATGTTAAGCAGACAGATAATGGCCTAAAGGCCACTGGTGCGAATAGTCAATTAACCATCAAATCTTTCTCAGTTTGCTCTGATGGTAAAGATCTTCCTTGAAAAGACCAACTCAAAAGCTGAGATGAGGATCAGCAAGATTAAGGCTGGTTATGTATATAGGTTTATGTTTTTCAAGATTCTTTAATGAAGAGTAAGTTCAAAAGAACAGCATTTATTTGAAATAGAAATCACTTAAAAAACTGTACTGTAAATGTTTTAATGTCACTTTTGATAAAGTGTTCATTTATTTTAAAACACACACATAAAAAATATAAAACAAATCTTAATGACTCAAGCATTTGAACAGTAGTGTGTATGCATTCTGACATATTTTGTCAGAACATGTCTGTTTATATCGTGCTGCCATTTTCTTCTGCCATTACACAAGACTACTGCCTGTTGTCAAGAGGCTTTAACCCTTCCATGAACCCAGAGCAACTACATGCAATTAACTCAACAAGCAGTTGCATCTTGTAAATAATTGATCCAGTGGGAGTTTGAATATAGGCCCATTATTTCTTTGCGATGTCGAACCCATTTCACTTATGTAGCAAGCATATTTTTGCAAGTGAGAATAACAAATAATTTCAAGTGACTAAATTGTAGGCTAGAATCCCATAGAATTAATTATGCATTCTGCTGGTCTGCGGGGGAAAAATGGCTGTTTGAATAAATACTGTATAAACAGTGCGAGTGCACTTGACTCATGATAGAAACACTTGATTTGGATGTACTGATTTTTCATAGTCATAAATCAGCCACAGATTTTATAAATCTCCACATCAATCTGACTTTACCTTAACTTTACTATACAGTATGTAAAGTGGGTGCGGAGTATAATTTGTATTTTCACTGCTTCAGCTTTGTCTGAATAGGGAAGGATCCACCCCGTCTGCAAACTCCAATAGTAATTTTGAAGTGGTTTGCCTGTCAGCAATGTGCTAGAAAAGTGCTTACAACACTGCAGGCCACACAGACACTAAAAATGGGATCCCTCCAAACTGTTGTCAATCTCCTGAAACTACACTCAGTCCTTTTACCACACATAATGCATTTACAACGTGCTGGCTAACAGCTGTAGCCTTAGCCCCATTAGGCTAGTTAGCATAGCTGCTTCTCACTCCCTACGGACACTCTAAGGTCCGCCACTCTACTGCCAGAACTGCAGGGGCCAAACAAAAACACAATTGCCATGGACTGTAAGGGGCCAGAGCCCAGATTTTGGACACCTTTAATAGCCAGACCTTCCCATGGGCTCTTTAAAATTGGATTAGCCATACTTACTGGCTTTGTTGGCAAAGCAGCACAATTTGTCGACACTTATCGGTGTAAAACAGTCACCCGTCTGCCGGTGCTGTGGCAGGAGACATGAGCTGTTTTGGCAGGCCTTCCTATAGTTTTGGGCTGGTTGAAATGATGCAAATCAGATTATTTCGGCTGATGAACACTCGCAGAAGGTTACATTTCTGGACATCTGGACACCTGGCACACTTGACAATGACAATAACTTCTGTTAACATGTTTTACAATTTTTATAAATCAGAGATGAGTAAGAGTAAAAATGGGTCATGTAAGACTTGTGTCGTAATTACAGAATATCTAGTGTTTTTCATTTGAATACATTCATTTGAATATATTTTAGGAAATCATTCTAATATGCTGATTTGGTGCTCAAGTAACATTTCTTCTTTTTATATAACATACAATTTTTGTGTAAACCATACTTTTTTCACTCTTTAAGAAATATAAATTGTAAAACAAACAAACAAACACAAACAATAATAGTTTAAAAATACATATAAATTAATTTAAAATTATTTAATTTGTCCTTCCTGAAGAAATTTATACATTTCTTGAAAAAAATAAATAAAATAAAAGTTGACTAACCCTTTAGTGTACATGTTTTTCTCAGAAAATGTAAATTAATATAGTGTTGTAATTGCAACAACCTCTATTAACATGCTTTACAAATCACAAAATGCATTTTTTTAATAAATTAGAGATGAGTAAAAGTAAAGGAAATGGATCATGTAAGCATTAAATCATAATAAAAAAAAACAACTAATAAAAAATAAAAAAGTGAAATAATAAAAAAAGAGAATGATAATAAATTAGAGATGAGTAAAAGTAAAGGAAATGGATCATGTAAGCATTAAATCATAATAAAAAAAACAACTAATAAAAAATAAAAAAGTGAAATAATAAAAAAAGAGAATGATAAATATTAATAAGAATGTCTATTAATAAGAAAATGCCAATATAAGTAAACTGTGTATGATGTTTTTCCCCCATTTTCCTTTAATGACCACTGTCTGTTTAACAGAAGATAATCTGCTGCCTTTGCTGGCTACAAATCCCTGTGTGACACTGTACCATGAAAAAATTAAAATTAATTTGGGTTGAGGAAAGAGCACATCTTGAGTCCACGTCAGGCCTGCTTACGCTCTGCATGACCCCCTTTTTCAATTATTCTGCTGCTCTCAAACAGAGCGTTTGGGCTTCCAGATTGGCAGAAGAAATGAATGATCAGCGGGATTCAGCTCAAATGAATCCTCGCCCCACAGAGCATGCAGGACAATTTCTCTCTGTCTCCCAGACTAAAACCGAACATTGGCGGATCATATTATATATATTTTTTTCCAATAACGTGCAGCTAAGCACGTTAGGTCAATGTGAAAACTGCTAAGCTTGCTGTGTGTGGCTTGCATGCTGAATGAGCTCACGGGGTGCAAACGCTAACAGGAAATGGAAGAGGTTTAAACATTCTGCCAGAGCATTTGGATCATCAGTAAGGGTGAGATTTTCAAGTAAAGATTTCCTCTCCGGATTTCATGCCCAGAAACCTCCAGCAATTATATTCAAGAAAACTGTGATGCTTGTTATACTTGTTACAGTATAATAAACAGAAGTTGTCACTATGGCAACAAGGTTGTGTTAGTCTAGTTAGTTCAGGCAAAACACTCAGCATGATACTTGTGAAAACAACAATGTAATTATTCTTTGATTTTGAGTGATTTTATCATTCTTTTTTTCTGTGACCCTGTTGTCCACAGTACAGTACAATGTTTACGTGTTTATTAAATAGACAACTGTATTTACTGAATGAACAAAATAGCTACTTATTTTTGTGTATCTCTCTCTATATAGTATATTGGGGCCACTTCTCACTATTAACTAGTTGCTTATTAGCTTGCCTATTAATACCATATTTTTCTGTTTATTAGTACTTATAAAGCACATATTCTGCATGACAACATACTACATCCCTATCCTACACAATAACTCAACAACTACCTTACTAACTATTAAAAAGGGCAAAAGTTGTAGCTAATGGTTTGTTAATATAGAAAATCTGGCCTTAAAATTAAGTGTAAATATGCATATGTGTATATATGTATATAAAGTGTATATGTGTGTGTGTGTGTGTGTGTGTGTTTATATTTTAATGCTTATATTTATCACAACCAGTTACTCTTTTCCAAATCCCCATGAACAACCTCAAAGTGTTTTATTTTAAAAGTATTTGTTTGTTTTAATTCTACATTTTTATGATTTAAATTATTATGATTTAAATAACTTACGAGCCACCACAGTTTGTAAAACCCTGTTTTAAGGCATCACAGACATACTTCCAATGTTAACGTATCCTTGTACTGTATGTATCCTTCACAGAAAAGGCAATTCCACAATACATTGATGGTGAAAAAATAAACCCAAAAATAGTGGACAAATAAAGAAAAACATACATAATAAAAACATGAAATACCATTAAACAAAAAAAAATATATATATATAGCTTTGTGTTGTAATATTTATTTTAAAAAATGCAATAATATTTCACAATAGTACCACTTTACTGTATTTATATTGTTGTTATATTGTTATTGTATGCTATATTGTTGAAATTAACAGCATTTTGATAATTACAGACTCACCTTGAGGTTGTCTGCTAGGATGATATATCTCCAGATCAAATGGCTGGGCACTTGTCTTTTGGATCACAGTTACATTGCGGCCAGTCCATTTATTCGCTCTGGCTAAAGTGTTGGTTCTCCAGTCTGTCCAGTACACACCACCTCCAAAGAGAGACACAGCGAACGGGTGTGACAGGTACTCGTGCCCCCTGAGGATCTCAATGACCCCTGTGCCATCATACAGGGCTGAATATATTGCATCTGAGCTGAAGGCAAACAGTAACATGAGGTGAGAATAGCACTCTATGCCCATATCAACAAGATGTTAAAATGATGACAACTTCCTGAGGGAAATACTGAAGATTCAAGAACTTTTTTGGCATAAGTATGGCTACATACTTAAAATATACTTAAAATGCTCATTTCTGAAAAACTGCTTTTGCCATGAAAGTACAGCATAAAAATAAATCTAAGAGAAAGTGATTTAAAATCATAATCTCATTAATTCCTTTTGGTTTAAATGTGTTGAGGCTGTTTTATATAATGTTTGCGAATCATACCGAACCTACAAAAAGCCTTGAGCATTTATGCAAAACACCTAGGCTTAAATTCAATGCTTCTTGCTAATTGCACCAAAATATAATTCTTCATTTGCATTTTTAATTTCCCGTACCGAGCATCTGTCCACACTATTCTCCTTTCCTGATGGTCTAGCGTGAGTCCATTAGGCCAGGCTCCAATCTCCATGTCCTTATACACAACATGTCTTCCACTTCCACTCATTGACGTTGCCTCAATCCGAGGAAAAGTGGCATCCCAGTCGGTCCAGAAAAGAATGCTACATACAGAAAGAAAAATGGTTATAAACTATTCATCTGACCATGCAGCACATCAGTATAAACATTTCAAGGTAACACTTTAGTATAGGGACCAATTCTCAATATTAACTAGTTGCTTATTAACATGCCTATTATTAACATATTGGCTGTTTATTAGTACTTATAAATCACATATTCTGCATGACCATATTCTACATCCCTAATACCTCAACTTAACAACTAAAAGTTGTAGTTAATGGTTTGCTGATAGTGAGAATTGGACCTTAAAATAAAGTGTGACCCAAAATAATATTCTTCCAAATAAAATTGCAACACACACATCTTAAACACAACTTAAAATATTTATTTTACCATAATTTTCAGTATTTACTCATGACTGAACTATTAAGACAGATCTCTATAGCTGCTTTGAAACAATATGTCTTGTGACAAGCACTATGCAAATAAACATGACTTGAATTGGGAAGTATAGCGCAGGGAGCTGCTCGGAAAATATAGTTACCTGCTTGAATAGAATTAATTTACAGTGAGCGGTGCCAGTGGATACAAAACTAAGAGTGGGCACAAACCTGTGAAACTGCATTGGAGCAATAGAGTAGTGAAGTGTGTGTGTATGAGAGCTGTGTGTGCAGGACTGCATCCTATGCTGCCCTAGAGAACAGTGCCTCGTTACATCATGAAAAAGCTTTAAAAATCTAAATGTAACATAGTAGATTAATTTCAAACTATTATCTTTATATGCACACTGTAAAGTTCAATGAAAACTGTCTGCCAGTGAAGTCAATGTCAAACAGGAGGGTTCATTTTTAACTGATGTCACAGTTCGCTGGGGTGGCATGAAAACAAAGGGCACATTCTAATGTGGGTATTACAGGGATTATAAAAATGCTAAATACTTGCATCAAGCTCATATGCTAATGAAATATGTGATCATGTTCCTGCATCTGGCATCAAAAACAATTAAATTGTCAGCCAAACGTTTGAGGTGTATGGTAGGTAAGCATACAAAAAGGCTTCACATGAATTTTGCTTCAAGGATGTAGCCTTCTCCTTTTCAGAAGGCCAATTAATTGGCCAGTGGCATACAGTTATTAAACCAGGCTTTCAATGAATAAAAGTGTTGCTAATTACAAAGACGGCTAATCCCTTCAGAACTACAATACATTTTCAACACACCTCTCTATGACAGCTGTATGGGGCATAGTAACTATGTAATGAATTTGGTGCTTTTTAATATGTGCCACGCCGCTGAGTGTGAAATCAGTCTTTGAATATTTTCCCTAATTGTTCTTTTCAGCTTTCAGTGAAATCATTTACAGTATGTCATCCAACTGAGCACCAATATGAGCTCTAGTTGGACTGCAGAGATACCATATTTCTCCTCTATGGGTTGCTCACGGGTTTGGCAAAAATGTTTCAGATGCATAAAACAGGCAAACAAGCAACAACTAGGGCTACAACAACATATTAACAAAAAAGGACTGATAACGAATATCATTTAATTATGTTTTTTTTGTGTGCCTGTGTGCTGTCGTTTGGTAAACTGCCATCATAAGCATCACTGTACTATAATGAAAAATACTTTTGGGGGAAAAAACAAATGCTATATTTATACAATTTTTATGAGCTTTCTGATTTTTCCATTACATTTTTTCCTATTCATTTCTTAAGTCATACATTTTAGACAGCGAAGGTACCAAGTGTTACTTTTTGTTCCTCGACTCTTTAACATTTCTGAATTATGTCCAATGTTTTTTGTTTTTTTGTGGGTTCACATAGCTAATGCAATAAAGACACCAAGGGTCAGGATTACTAAACAGGGCAAATTAGCATTAGAAGTGTAACATTTTTCAGTCAAAAGTGACCAATGAGGCCTAAAGGGTTAATCAATTATTAAAATTAATGTAAAAAAAAATCTAAATCTAAGAAATAACTGGCATATTAATCATCAAAACATAAAAAATAGGTTATACTTGTACATTTTATTTTTATAGCCTTCAGTGGAAATAAAATGTTCAATAAATCTGGAATTAAGGAATTAAAATAAATGTATTTAATGTATTAAAAAAATGTTTGCAAAAAAGCCTCTCTTTTTTGTGCATTTACAATGTCGGTGAGCATTATTCATGCTGCTGGGATCATTGTGTGACTTTTCTGAGCTCATGCTGTCATATTTGAGACTTTCATTTCCTAGCATGCCTCCGTAAGAAATGTAGAGCTGAGCAAGAGAAGAGCACAGCTGAGAGTAAGGCGACAAAAAAGGAAACAGAGAATCTAAATCTAAGAAATAACTGGCATATTAATCATCAAAACATAAAAAATAGGTTATACTTGTACATTTTATTTTTATAGCCTTCAGTGGAAATAAAATCTGGAATTAAGGAATTAAAATAAATGTATTTAATGTATTAAAAAAATGTTTGCAAAAAAGCCTCTCTTTTTTGTGCATTTACAATGTCGGTGAGCATTATTCATGCTGCTGGGATCATTGTGTGACTTTTCTGAGCTCATGCTGTCATATTTGAGACTTTCATTTCCTAGCATGCCTCCGTAAGAAATGTAGAGCTGAGCAAGAGAAGAGCACAGCTGAGAGTAAGGCGACAAAAAAGGAAACAGAGCACAACAAATAAACAGCAAGATGCAGCGCGTTATTCTAGAACTATCATTAGTAATATATGACAAACAAGTCCCCTGAAATATGATTGATCTGTTATGTACCCAAGATAGTCTCTATGAGGACAAATTACGTTAAAAAATAAATAAAACTGTTTTCACTGTTTGCTTTTGCTGTTGTGAACATTGCTGAAGGGAATGTGAAAAAGAAAAGCAGACTAAGAGGAAAGAAAATTAGGCTGTGGTAAATTTTGTATGAGACTAATACACACCCCTGTCCTGGGTCTACAGCCAGCGCTCGTGGGTGCTCCATGCCACCGGCAATCAAAGTCGTTCTCATTTCCCCATTCAGCTTGGCCACCTCAATCTGATCCAAGTTGCTGTCTATCCAGTAAAGGTTTCCTGCAATCCAATCCACTGCGAGTCCCTCTGGGGTGGCCAAACCATGCTGAATCACAACCTCGACCCCGGTCACACCTACAAAACAAACCACTCGCGCTAGATCATAGGGTGGACGGGGTTTCCAATTCAGCACAGCAAAGCATTCTGGTCGTTTTGAACTTCCTTTTGAAGTGTTGAGTTCTTCAAAATGCTACTCCTTGCTGAAAAGACCAGCTTGAACCAGAATGCATTTTTATGCTGTTAGTCATGTTGTTCACCAGCAAATGATGCAACTATTCTTATGATTAAATGAATCTATACTTATGAATCTACTATCTTATGAATCTATACTTCTGATTAAATTGAACAAAGCAGGCTTGCTAGTTAAGCTAGTTGAAGGGAAAATTCAAATAAAAAACTAAACATATTTCTAAAATTATATTTATAAAAATGTTTTCAGCAACTGATATAAAGCTGAAATAAAATATACATATTAAATGAAATAAAGTTAGAGTAAAAAATAAATCTTGAAAATTAAGAAACAATTACTAGAAAAAAAATGTAAAACAACTAAATAAATAAAAATAAATAAAATCACAAAATCACAAATTACTAAAATTCAATTGAAAACTAAAAATAAAGGCTAATTCAAATTATTACTAAATACTATAATAGTATATAGTATATCAATAATACTAAAATAACGCTGGCTCCAAGCTTGTATCACTTTCTCTCTTCTGTGGAACACAAAATAAGGTATTTAGAAAAATGTCTCAGTGTCTTTTCTGTCCATACAATGAAAATTCAACCATTCTTCTAAAAAAAATACTTTGGGCTGAACCATCCCTTTAAGTAGCCTGGTATGGACACCAGAATATCAACAGCAGGCGATCAGCATCCAAACACAACATTTGCTGGTCTTTTCAACAGGGTTTCTGAAAATAACTGGTAGAAAACACTGGTATTCAAGGAAAGGAAGTTTTCCCTCAGCAGTAAACAATATTTTTTTCAGCTATCTATAATCCAGCTGTTTGCAATTATTCTCAGCTGTGGAGGGCTTTATGAAATGCTAACAAAAGGAGAGAGCAATAGCTGCACTGGGGGCCTGTTCCTCTGAGAGAAAGATTTAGATGTGTGCTTAATGCAGCTTCAAAATAGTCTTCAAAACAAAACAAGGGTGTTCATCAGCTCCTTCAGAGCTTTTCTGCGTCATTCAAAGAGCCACTGTGCATTATGTATTGCATTACTGTTCAGGGGACGTGACCTGCGTACCAGGAATGGGGACACAGAATATCTTTTCAAACTAAAGCATAGGTTAAACAAAGGGCGAGTGGGAATGGGACATCAAATTGGGTGTTCATTACCTCCGGTCTCTGAGAGCTTTCCCCGATAGATCTTATCCTCCACCACGTCGGTCCAGTAAAGCAAACTGTGGTTGAAGTGGAAGTCGAGAGCAATGGTGTTCCGCAGGCCGGGAACGAGTAGGCTGTAGTCACGTTTATGAAGGTCGATTCGTCTGATCTCATGCCGGATAGAGAAGATAACAAAAGCCTCAAAGGGATCTTGGAGAAGAAACACATTGATTATTAGCACCCCACACCTGTGCATTAGAAGTTACAAGAGCATCGTGCTGTGTGTTGAGGCGTCCGCCATGCACATTTTGTTCTGTACATAATCCCTAATTAGTCTTTTAGCTGATGTTTTTATGAAAAAGATTTACAGGGAATCTAATCTTGAAACCAGCGGATAATAGAAGAAGACACTTGAGTCGTCTTTAAAGAGAAAGAAAAAAAACAACCCCTATTAATTAGGTCAAAATACAAGTTCACAAGTTCTATTCAAGTCATCCAGGCATATATAACATTTAAAAAAGAAACTATATAATTAAGAATAATATATATATATATATATATATATATATATACACACACACACACACACACAAATCATTTGCCAGTCCAGTTCTATATCTACTATGCAACATTATCCCAGAATTATTATTTTTTTTATAGCTACTGGATAAAGCCTGTTGAGAGCTATAAATGTGGCTGTCTGCTATAACAAGAACTTACTCTCAAGAGCTATATACGTCACAAAATCCATAAAATACCACACAGATGCTTGTTGTCATATTCTGAATAATGACCCAAATTCAGATTCCCTGAGACAATTTAAAAGCATTTGGCAGGCATGCTGCTGTAAAGACATTAGGTTCTCAATGGGAAGCTCCTGTCTGCACATCCCGCTGTCACTGTATTACTGTTGCTCTTATTGTTGTGTACTGTGGACAGATTCACTATGGATAGACATCATAAACTAGTTTAGAAAAATAATGCTATACTTTCCTGTCTTATACTTTGACTATCGTCATAACTGTTTATGATATTTTATGGTGCTTTTTTCGTATTTCCTGGACACATACTGTATGAACTGCTGTTGCATTGGAAGACCTGTACTTTTTTTTTACTTAAATTTTTTTATATTATTTATGTATTTATTTATTATTTATTTTAATTGTTTTTTATTAGGGCTGTCAAATCGATCAATATATAATCTATATAATCTATATTCATTCATATTTATATATAATTACATATATATATATATATATACACACACACACATATATACCTGTGTGTGTGTGTGTGTTTGTGTGTGTGTGTGTGCGTGTATTTATATATACATACATACACATACGACACACACATATATTATGTAAACAAACTTTTATTTTGGATGTGATATATATGTGATGCGATCTGGGAAAACCCGTCGAATGTCACGCTGGGACGCTTTCAGGAAATTCGAAAAATAGGTTGAATGTAAATTTTTTTTCAAAATTAGGGTTTCATTCAATTATTATTCTATAACATCTTGTCTATCATCTCTGAAAATATCGTGGCAAAATGCACTTGTTTAGTGCCAAAAAATAGCGATTTATTGCAGCAAGCAGAAAAGACCGTGTCTGTCTCTCATGTTAAGAACACGCTGCGGAGGTGCTTTCTCTTAACACCACAAAAACAGTTAACCTATCAAAATAAACTACGTAACATATATAATAAAGGTGTATCAATGCACATTTCCCGCCAGTCCTGTGTAAACTACGGCACGTTTTTTTTTTTTTTATATATCATGAGATGGCGGAGTGCAAGAAAACAACGCAGTCTGAAGCTGCTCACTTCGACGATCTTGCTTGTCTCAGTCTGCTCAATCTTGGTGATGTCAGTGCCCTAAAAGATGTTATAATGGACTATTTCACACCCAGAGATGAAGGATCAGATGATGAAGTTACTAAAGAGGATCTGCGCTCGCTTTTCTAAATGTAAACTACAAGGTACATTATTTGTGCTATCTAAACATACAAGGGGTGATCAAAAGTTCAGAGACTATGCCCATCATGAAATACTGTTATATTTATATTGCTTTATTTTTATATATAAGATATATGTTAGAAGAGTTTAACCAGGCTGCCAAAGCGAGGCAATTCTAAGAGAAATATATATTTTTAAAGTTTGAGGAATTTAAATACCCGTGCTGTGGCAGCTCTCTCCATCTGGATCAAGTCTCCAGCCAGGATAACAGGAGCACTTGACAGTGGTCTTATGCTGTTCGCATATCTGACTGCATTTCAGGTGAGCAGAGCAGTAGTCCACTGTCTCACATGTTCGGTTGTCAGAGCTAAGACGGAGTCCAGTGGGACATGAACACACCACCCCTTTGCTGGGGATCACTGCACACTGGTGACTGCAGCCCCCATTACCTTGCAAACATTTCTCTGGAACAGACAAGAACAGCATGAGTGAGGACAAAAACAGAATCAATTTGAAAGGCTGGTGATATGAAGCCATGTTTGCAGGGATATGAGATTCAAGGTGCGAACTGAAACAGAAAAGCCACAGATGAACAAAGACCAACGGTATGGTTTGAACATTTGCACAAGGCTAGAAGCTTATCGCTCTTTGCCTCAAAAGTTACGGTGTGTCTTTCTCAACTAGACCATTATTCTGACCTAATCAACATCACCAGCCAAGTGTGTCACAATAATAAAGAATTGCTTTATTCATGAGGCAGATTTAATGAGAAACCACAGGTGTGAATTATGACCGACTTAAGCCACTGTGCAGGCCAAACAAACTCATTCAAGGTGGAAAATGGCTTTTTCTTAAGTTTAAAACTGGGTCTCTGATACATCATCTCTTTTCAAAACGGATCAGACAAACTCCGGTACTCTTAGACTCTCATCTCTAATGGATAAGCTTTTTCCTTTCATCGAAGCACCTGGTCCTTTTTACGGGAGAAAGACAAAGGGGATGAAACTCACAGCTTGCAAGGTCTTTTTGCCACTACTGATTATGATGATCCCCTCTGCGGCCGCAAAAGAGAATTGAATTTTCTTCACAGGGGGCCCTGAAGTCTATATGGAGTTGAAGAATAGCTGCTTCCCAAAGGTCACAAATGGCATCGAGTCCTGCTGTGCTGGTCCCAGTCAGTCAGTCACCTCAAGGTCCATTGGCACAATCTAATTAGCAATAAGAGGCCCAAGCCAAACGCAGGTCTAGTCAGACAGATAATACACCTCGTCCTCAGAACATGAGCGGTGGGCTCCCATGGGCGGCTGCTGGCAATGCACTGAAAGTCACTGAAATGTTTGTCTAGTTGCATTCTGAGAGAATTATACATCGGTGACTCTCAGGAGACACTTTCCCAAGTGAGGGCTTCAGAGGCAAACAGATCCCCATGTTTAGCTCTCATTCAGACAGGCTTCGTGTTTTCCTTGTGCTGGTAGCTTACAGAGCATGTGGTGGCTTTCCATTACACTAGCTCAAGGACACAACTCAAAGAGATTCAAGTAGCCCTGAGGGACATGCCGTGTGGGCATAAACACAGTATTATCACAATCTTTTCACCCATGGAGAGGTAAACACAGTGCATATTGATTTGCTCAAGTGTATGAGTCTGAATCTATACAGCTCAGACATTTTATTTGCATTGGTTAGTTAGCGTTTTTCATGGTTTGGCTTCCTGTGTATTGATAGAACTACTCCACATGACTACTTCTCATTCAACCCATCCAGCATCTCTTGCAGAACTGACCAGACTTCACATAACAGCACAGCGGATTTCAATTAGCATTACACACAAGGTGTAGTGAATAAGGCTGTGAATGCAAGCATTATGAACCCAGTGATAAACTTTGCACACTTGCAACACTGCGACACTTGCATTGATTAAAGACCAAATTAATTCAAAAATCGAAGTTTTGTGGCTTTTAGACCATGTCTGTTTGCTCTGCAAAAAAAAAAAAAAAAAAAAAGCAGACATTCACAGCAATGTATACAAATGTAGTCTAAATGCTGCACTGTGCCACGGAAAGCCATGCTTTATACCAGTGTAATTAATGTTAACTAAAACTGAAACTATTAAAAATAGTTTTTGTTTAATTAAAATTTAAATAAAACATAAATATTAGATGAAAAAACGAATGCCTTGGCAAAGTAAGTTAATAAAAATAATAATAAGTAGTTTAAGTTGAAGCACTAAAATTACAAAAAATTTAATTTAAATTTTAAATAAAAGAACTACCCTGTATATAGAAGTATCAATAACAACAACAACAACAATAATAATAATAATAATAATAAAGCCCATATCAAAATTACTGAAACTTAAAAAATATAATGAAACCGAAAATAATAAAATAAAACCTAACTTTAATAAATACTATAATAATATATAAATAATACTACTTTACAGGAATTTTACCATGTATAAAAGGAGGTTCTTAAATGTAAACTCATAAACCACTTTGAAGCTTATTTTGCTAATGTGACAAAAGACAATGTATAGTGAGTAATTTACAATGATAAATAATAATAAAACACATACAACAAATACACAGAAAAATATATTTTTCAAATTTGTAAATAAAACAAAGACTACGAAATTTTTATAAGAAAATATGATTTCAGTAAATTTAACGTGTTACTTGCCATTTCCTTATAATTGTTTGTGAAATTCACTAGCAATGTCATAGTGAAAATTGTTTGTAGACCATAATGTAATAAAAATTGGAATCAATCATTCTTCTGCAAAGTAATACAGTTCCTTACCCTAACTGCAGTCTGTTTACAGTTGCTAAGCAACATAGGCACACTGATATAGAATTAGCAGTCACAGGTGCGAATTTATTCAGCATGGCTCATCCAATCAAAATTTAGAGTTGAAATGATTCATATTTTATCAAATATTGAAGCAATAAAGCAGATGAGCCTCTTATCAAAGCCTTGCATGCACTCACCACAGAAAGGACCCTCATCAGAATGGTCAGCACAGTCGTTTCTCCCATCGCAGATCTTGTTGGGGGCCAGGCAGGTGCTGGAGTCATTAGCACAGGGCTGAGTGGGGGGCTTACAGATGGAGGACTCACACGACTCTTCATCTGAGCGGTCTTCACAGTCATTGTCGCCGTCACACACCCAGCTCTTGCTGATACACTTCCCTTGAGACACAACATTCAGTCAGACCGCTATATAAATCAAACTGTCAGGCTTAATTTGTTGTTTGTAGGTGAGCATGAAGATAAATCTGGGTAAATTTGGCAGAACAGTGGCGGAACGTCAAACTGGCATGACGTCAGATGAATACAGAAGCTTCAGCTCATTGAACCCTTAGAGACCCACTGAAACATTTGTTTAAACCTTTTTATTATGAAACATTTATTTTTCACACAGTGGAGCTCTTAAAAAACTTTTTTTTTTGCTTTACCATTATGGTGTATGGAGTGTAGATTGATGTGGGGGAAAAAAAAGTAATTTAACGCAGTTTAACATAAGACAGCAACATAAAATGTGAAAAAAACAAAGGGGTATAATGTTGTCAACGCTTCCCCGCGATTTTTATTACTAAAATAAAATATAGATACTAGATCGCTACATTATATTCCCCAGCAAAGAGGTGATAAAATCACTGTTTTTGAAGTAATTGTTTGTAGAGAGACATGCGCAGATGCAGCAAGCAGGTAACTGACACACAACTGTCATCTCTCTCTCTCTCTCTCTCTGTCTCTCTCTCTCGATCGATAATTAATTGAAATACATGCTATAATTCATTCAAATAAATTTGGTCTTACCGCACTATTTCATCTCTGTGTCTGTTTTGAAGCGGGCAAAATGCTAGTGCTAATGAGCCATAACTGTCGAAAATAACTGTAATTTTTACCCATTCGGTCAAATATTGCGCTGCAAAGAGCAATACAAGTTTTAATTTGTCTATAACTTGGCAAATGACCATGGAATAAGTGGGATAATCAATGGCTAGCCAGGCATTAAAGGATTTTAATGCACTTCGTGGAGGCTGGTTCTTTGCCTCCACGTCCTGCATTAAAATCATTTCATGCACGGCTAGCCGTTGATTATCCCTTACATATATACTTCAGTCTTCAGTGTCACATGATTCTTCAGAAATCAATAAAAAATACTAATCAGGGAAAAAAA